ATGGGCTCAGTGTTAGAGTGGCTTAGGACTTTGGCTGGTTCCCCAGAAAGAGTTTTGGAGCAGAAACCGAAGCTGTCAGCTGGAGCTTTCCACCTGGGCTTCCACTCCATTAAACCTGGATGCTGCAAAGGAACACACAGGGAGTCCTCAACTTGCAACAGTTCATTGTTTGAAGTTACAACAGCACTGGAAAAAAATGACTTATGATCGTTTTTCACACTTATGACCATTGCAGCATTCCCATTGTCATGTGATCCAAATTCGGAAGCTTGGCAATTGATTCCTATTTATGATGGTTGCAGTGTCCCTGGGTCCTTCATTAACAAATCACAACTTTTTGCAGAGAGAGAGAGGGAAGGAGGGAGGAAGAGAGAGAGAGAGAGAGCACCTCAGTGGTGCAGCATTTAGAGTGCAGTACTGCAAGCTACTCCTATTGCAATTTGGCAGATCGAATCCCACCAGGCACAAGGTTGACTAAGCCTTCCATCCTTCCAAGGAGGGTAAAATGAGGACCCCAATTAATGGGGGCCATACGCTGACTCTGTAAACTGCTTAGAGAGGGCTGGAACGCACTATAAAGCTGTATATATAAATCTGGAAAGCACTATAAAGCTGTATATATAAATTTGAAATCAGGAGTCCAAGGTTTATTTCTGACCCCACTGAGAGGTACAGACTCAGTTGTAAACATTGAGAAGGAACTGCACGACTCCCAAGCTTGTTTTAAAAGCATTCACTCTATTAATTTAAACCTAATGAATAGACATTAGCTATGTTTAATCTCATCAACTGTCAACCTCAACCTGATGCAGCATGTTAGTTGCAAAAAAGAATTTGCAAGGGATGGAGATAAGTGGGAAAGGAAAAAGGAAAGGGAAGGACAGGGAAAAGGAGAAAGGAAGGGGAAAGGAAAGGGAAGAGAAGGGGAAAGGAAAGCAAAGGCATGGAGGAGAGAGAGAGAGAGAAAGGAGAGGGAAGGAAAGGAAAGAAAAAGGGAAGGAGAAGGAGAAGGGAAGTGGAAAGGGAAGAGAAGAGAAAAAGGAAAAAGGGAGGAAAGGAGAGAGGAGAAGATGGAGTTGCAGGGAACCATGGCCATGCTATAATAACCCTCTGAAGCATTTTCTCCATTTCTGTATAGCTTGTGCAAAACAGGCCCAATGCAGAGTTCTTCTCTGAGACAGATGGGCTGTCTTATATTTGATAAATAAAATAAATAAATTTTCATCATATCAGATACCAAACTGTTCAGTCAGCTATCAGTTACTTTGAAAGTTGCAACTCCAACTTTTCTCTACACATTCTCAGTATGGCTTCAAGTACAAATATCTAAGGGGCTATTTTTTATGTGGTAGGAGAAATGCTTTGGAAAGACAGTGTAATCCTGCATCCTAGGTCACAGAGATAATTCCAATTGGAGGGAATGTAGTTTGAATTTTAAATTAAATAACTTACCTCACACACTGAGAAGAGACAGAGAGATAGACAGACAGAGAGCAATTATAAATCAATTTTAAAGTGCATGTTTTTAAAACAAAAAAGCATAAAGAAATAGTTATGTCCAAGAATGCATGTTTATTAGATAGGAAGGAAAGGGGGGAAATGGAAGGATTCAATTAACCTTTTTTTTGGCCAAAACAAAAATCCCTGGATTTGATCATTTTGACCCCTGTCATCAAATCTTATCACATATTTCCAGATAATCAGAAAAGGTCCATCTTTGCCAAGTGTTCCTTTTGCAGGCTACTGATTTGTAAAAGTCCACTTTGAAACTCTTCTATCAATACTTTTACTCCAATTTTAAAAAAAGCAATAACCCAAAACCTCCAGTTAAACATCCAGGGAAGCTCTGATGTCTTGCAGCAAGAGAACTGCCATGAATTAAATGAGGTATATAAAAACTGATGTGGCTTTCCAAATGACATCATTAACCAAAGGAACTGACTCAGAGAACTATACAAAAAGGGAAAAGAAAATATATAAAAGGAGCTGCAGCCAAATGAAAGGATTCCCTACTGCTTAATAAAGAATGCCATTTCTTTTCTGAAAAAGGGCAATTTGTTTTTAAGGGGTGAAATTATAGTTCCCACATATTGTGGTCTGGGTATTTGAAGTCATTTGGCTGCTTTTCCTATCACTTCATAATCAGAAAAACAAGAGATGTATTGTTTTTTTTAAATCAAAGTTGGATATTCACAGCTACTGCAAGATGAGTTGAGATGTTTAATGGACCTGAAACGGAAATTAGAAGCTGCTTCACGGGTGTAAAATTGAAAGGGTGGCTGGTAATTAAGCAACTCTGATAAAAGTCGAGAGACATTAAAACTTGGATGGGATGTGGAAATGCACTATGCAACAAAAAAATTGCCTGCAATGAAGAGGGAAATAGCCTCTCCACTTTTGGAGAGGGTGATCTTCAATTTGCATGATTAGAAATCCAGCAGGATGGCTCTTAAAAATCTGAATCAAAACCTCAATTTCTCTTTGCAAGAGAAATGTGGCATAGCACAGACTCCGTGAAAAGCAACCCATTAGATTCATTTTTAACAAACCATGGTTAACAACGCCGGTGCTTTAGCATCTGCATGTGAATCTAAGTCAGTTATCTTTACAAAAGTTTTGACATAAAACAGTGTCATTGCAGGAACCCATATTTAAAGGGAAATAAAAGGAAAGCAACATCCAGCCTAAGAGGGTGTATCTGTGATGCTATGCCTATTTCTAAAAATCGGTTTTCCTGAATCTTGGTGAAGCTGCCCTACTCCAGGAACTGAACAACAAAGCCCAAATCCAGGGTAAGTCTCATAAGAAATGCTCAGATCACAACAGCTTCTGTAAGATTTTACTCTCTCCAACAGCCTTTCAAAATCTGTTTTCTTCAACTATGCTTGCAATGTAATCAAGATGCCTTTTCATATTATTAATGGGGTGGGGGGGGATTCTCCACTTTTTATATCTTGGATCCTGACTGCTCCTTTGGAATTTAAGCACTGCTTCAATAGTAGTTATTTATAATACTTTGTGAATGCTACCTCAAAGCTAGAATGTTTCCAATGATAGTTTTTTGGGGTATATTGTTTTGTCTATTGTTAGTGACTTTTAAATATTCATAACCAGGGAAAGCTGACTTATCAGGGAAATATTTGTAGCTCAGGGTTGAAATGAGGGGGGGGGGCTTGGTGTTCTCTGAGCTGGGATTATTTTCTTGCAGATGTTTTATTACCCAGACTAGGTGCTAGTGAATCTAGCACAGAATTTGGGTAATGAAACATCTGCAATAAAACAACCAAGTTCAGAGAACACCAAGCCTCACTTACAATGGTCTACTTTTTCAGTCCAACTAATTCTGCTTTGATAATACTGATTTCCAGGATTCCCCCCCGCCCCCCAGCCCTGTTTAACGTAGATACACAGGAATTGAACGGGAATTCTCTGCAGAGAGAGTTACATTCTGGTCACTGAATTAGAGCCTTCTCTGTGTGTGAGCATAATCAGAAACCTAGGGATGGTCTAGGAAAATAATTAGTTCGACAGCAGTGACTCAATATTTTAAAAAAACCTCATCCCCTCCAGAAAGATGTTCTTGCCTTTTGATCTATCTGTACTCTTCCAAATTACATGAAAGGAAATGTGCTTTTGAAATTTCTTTCAAAGGAGAAGAGAATTTCTGATTCAAATCACATGAATTGGGTAGAATGTTCTTGCATTTGGCAACAGAGTTCATTTGGCTACACAATCTTCTTTTTGCTGCCTGCTTGCCTTCCAGGCACCCAGATTGTTGGGGGCAATACACTGATGTTGTAAACCACTTAGAGAATGCTGTAAAGCAGTATGAAGTGGTATAAAAGTCTAAGTGCTATTGCTACATTGCTTTTTTTATGCACAATGATTTCATTGTGGTGTATTGTTTTTCTTATTTGATTGCAATTTGACTTAGTGCTATTTTGGTCATGGAAAGATAGAAGATAAATGCTTCTAATAAATACATGCTTAACCTGTTTTCTTCTGGTGAGGATTCCAGAATCTGCTCTCAGCAATAAAAAAACACATTAATTATCCAATTATTGCAAGATGGCAATCTAACATCTATTAAAAAAACAGAACAATGAACTGCACATGTCGTTTTGATTAATTATGTCTTATCCAATTCCAAAAACAGTTTGCCACACATTTATTACTATTTCATATTCTCTCTTTTGGGGAAAATTGTAGGTGAAACAGTTTTTAAAAGCAGGATGAAGGAACTGGGCCACTAAAATATTTTTGAAATGTTGACTGAAACAGAAATGATTTTAATTTCATCTTGAAAAAAATAATACCAGATATATGAAGTCACCGCTGAAAAAGACCTGTCATTGGTACCCACCAATCTAATGAATTTTAACGAAGCATTGCTGGCTAATTCTGCCCATTGCCAACAGTTTGATCCTGACCGGTTCAAGGTTGACTCAGCCTTCCATCCTTCCGAGGTCAGTAAAATGAGGACCCAGACTGTTGGGATAAGATGCTGCCTTTGTAAACTGCTTAGAGAGGGTTGTAAAAGCACTGTGAAGAGGTATATAAGTCTAAGTGCTATTGCTAAGTGGGAAGGAAGGAAGGGAGGGAGGGAGGGAGGGAGGGAGGGAGGGAGGGAGGGAGAAGGAAAGAAGGAAGAGCCATGGTGGCGCAGTGGTTACAATACATTGCAGGCTGCCGACTGCCAGCAGTTCGATCCTGACCAGCTCAAGGTTGGCTCAGCCTTCCCTCCTTCTGAGGTTGGTAAAATGAGGACTCAGGTTGTTGGGGGCAAATAGGCTGTAAACTGCTTAGAGAGGGTTTTAAAGCATTATGAAGCAGTATATAAGTGCTATTGCTATTGCTATTAATACTGGGTTAGATAAACTTGCATTCTAAAAAAAAAAAGAATTCTAAAGATGGTGCCTGGATTGTTTATTGCCACTTCCTGCAGGTAAAAAAATCATGGTAGCAGCAGGAATCAACCCTGATGTGGAAAGACACAAACAATGGAAGGACCAACTCCTGAACCTGCCTTTGTCGATGTGGATAAAGGACTAACCTTGGCGTGCTTCGTCTTCCTCTGCCTTTTCCTCATTGTCATGATTATCCGCTGTGCCAAAGTGATCATGGACCCTTACAGCGCCATCCCAACCTCCACATGGGAGGAACAGCACCTGGATGACTGACCAACCTAAGGGCTTGGGGGAAAAGGTGGCCTCCAAGCCCTCTGCATCTTGGACCGACCCATGGACTTGGCGCAAGAAAGCACAGATTAAGCGGCCACCTTATCAGGATGAAAGCACTAAATAGGACTCCTCTTCATACCAAGATGCTTATGGCAACGGAGTTTTGAGAGCACATTGATTACAGCTGCCTGCAGATCTACTTGAATTCTTCACTTTCTCCTTCTGATCTATTGCTAACACTCTCTCTTCCAGGTTTTAATGAGAGGGGAACTATGACAGTTCTATTACATCAAGTAGCACAAAATGCTCTTTAGATACCAGAACTCTCTTTCAAGCTTTCTCCAGAGTAATCTGTACTTAGCAACGTTGGCTGCATTTAAATCCAATGTGTACAGCTTTATCCAGACTGCTTAGCATTTGAGTAGGCGTGGGGGCTGTCATCCTTCCGCCACCTAGGGCAAGAGGGGTCCATGGGGAAAAAATTGTTGTGGGTTCATGTCAATTTAGTAGTTATGAGATTATATTAATTAGATCCAGCTAGTATGCTTACTCTCTGTGTATTTTCCATAGAATTAAAGACTGGCAATTATGGAAAGCTCTCTTTTGGCCACTTTCAAAGATTTAGAGGTTCAAGTTATGTGCCTACAATTTAAGTCATTATTTCAAGTGAAATCATAAAGATTTAAGCCATTATTTCAAGTGAAACTATAAAGATTTCAGGTCTTATTTCAAGTGAAACCATAAAGATTTCAGTCATTATTTCAAGTGAAACCATAAAGATTTTAGTTCTTATTTCAAGTGAAACCATAAATATTTCAGTCATTATTTCCAGTGAAATCATAAAGATTTTAGTCATTATTTCAAGTGAAATTTCCAACATGATGGCAGATTTGCTTCCCTTGCTCTTGAAGGATCTTATACTACACTGTTTGCACAATTCGATGTGCCCTAAGGGCCCCTCTATGTATAAGACGGGCCTTCCCAGTTTAAACATATAGTATATTTCCCTTTTGATACTAATATTATTTAGCTGAGAAGAGCTTTCATGCTTTTTATGAATTGAACTTCAGGGTTGTCCCATTCATATGCAGTTCTGTTAATTTTTGCAGGAGGAGCAGTGCATTATCCAAACAAATGCCCCTGGATAGGAAGATTCATTTTATTTCTTTGGCATAATTTAGAAAAATCAATCAAAGTATCTGCACACTCAACAATTGTAGCTCGGCTTCCACCTTGCCTATTAGTCTTGTTTTATTGCCTCTGCAATAAAATGAGAGTTTGGCTACATTCAACGATCAGGTCCAAGTTCTGACTTTTGATCTCATGAGAACAGTTGGACAATGCACTTAATTTGATTTGCTGGATTAGCCCATTTTTATACCTTAGCACAATGCTGCAATACACACACACACACACACACACACACACACACACAAATCATTGATCAATCCATGCAGCAAAATAGCTTCTAGATTCAGAGGATTTGTAGAGATCTTTGCTTTGGTGCTGTCTATTCCCCCATCCCCCACCCCGAATAATGTCCTACCAGGAGCCGCAAAGTTATGTGGTTTGTAAATGTTTGGAGGTAATTCTAGAATACTCTGAATTGAAGTCGTGGCACTTTGCATTACATCCAAAAGAACAGATCACCTTTGTTGATTTCATGGTTAAAAGGTCCCTACATAGAGATTTGCAGAAGCCCTAGAAATGATGGGATGTCTCTCATTGAAGAAAAGAAAGACAAAAGAAACAAACTAGCCTTCCGGATCAAATGCATTGTCAGGAAAGTCTTTGTGATCCTGCCAAAATCTCTCTAGATGATAAGACAGCATCCTGTGAGTACAGATTCCATTTTGGGAAATGGGTATTTTGCCATTGGCTACGCCCACCATGGCAGCCATTTTGTGAGGGCAACCACATGCTCTTAAGCTTCCAAAGATGCCCATAGACCAATTTGTTTGTGAAAGAATCTGGTGAACAAAAGAAGTTCTGTGACACTTAAAGATTTATCGGAAGATAAATCAGGATCAGTCAAATGTTCTCCTGATGCTTGGTTAACCTTAACTGACTGGCTTATATCTGGATGTGGGCTAAGGCGTTGGGACAAGAATAGAAAAATAATGTAATGCTTTATAGAACTATTCAATACATAATTTTTTTAGCTAGCTTACATGGCAAAAGATGAATTCACATCTGCCCATGTACAGTGTGTCGATAGAATTTTTTAGAAATAAAGTTACAAAACCAGACCTAAGTGAAATGCAACACTGAGAACATAATGCACAATTGCTGTTACCTATTGAAAATTTCAGTCATCCAGGTTGTCCCAAAAGGGCTTTTTCAAAAGGCAACCAGACTTTCTTTGTTTTTTCCTGAAGATGTTTCACTGCTCATCCAAGAAGCTTCTTCAGTTGGATGAGAAGTGAAACATCTTCAAGGAAAAACTATGAAAGTCCAGTTGCCTTTTGAAAAAACACCTTTGGAACACACTTGCATTCCAAAAATATATTTGCCAAGAAAATATCAGGAAATCAGAAATCTGCCAAAAAAGTGTTCGTTAAAAACATTGACTAAAGAGAGAGAGAGAGAGAACTGTAACCGACATTTATGTTTCTTTATGTCAAACAAGGGTAGAAATATCTTGAAACGTCTCCATTTTGTATGTTTTGTTCAAGGACATGGACATCTTAGATTATTCTGGCAGGAAGGATTTTTCCAGAACATTCACCAAAACCAATACGGTGACCTTTTCCCTGACAGTACCCTGAAAGAAAAGAATCATATCACAAATTGTTAGCCAATTTTTAAAATTGTCCTTTTCTGATATACTCCACTACATTCTCTCTTTTACATGCCTTTCCCTTCCTCCCATCTCAACCAACCCATTCTGTGGCCACAAACCAGATGTTTTTTGGGGGGGATATTCCTCCATCTGAAAGATGATTAGTATTATTGTATTGGTAAAATCCTGAATTTCCCAAAAATTGCTTTGATCTGTCTTGAGTATAGAAGATTATGCTTTGGCTGCACTTATTTGGGATCAGGTTACTTAGCAATGAATAGCTAAGATTGTTTCACTAGAGAACAAGATCAAAAAAGCATAAGCATGTGGAACAAATCAAACATGGTTTTCCCGCAATCCCTGCAACTATATTATATATCTGAATGACAAGAAAAATTGCAATCCAGCTCAGCCTTTTACTCAATGTGTCAACAATGCCTTTGAAAGAGAACAAGTCCACTCCAAGCTGCAACCAGAATCAATATTTCCAGAGGACAAAATGTATGAATATTTGTTTACAGGGTCAACCATCAATCCAATGAGATCCTGGACAGCAAACAACATGAAAACACGAATAAAGCCAAATATATGTGTCCCAGGATAATATTGCAAGATCGAATTTGGGTCCCTCACTGGGACCAGAAGTTTTGTCTTCCGAGCTTTTTGACTCGTGCTGGATCCAATCCTCAGTGTATTTCTCTCTATTGGAATGAATAATTGTGGGAGCTTCATTCTTCTTTCAAGAAGAAATTGGACTGCCATTTGAAATGGTGTACAGCCTCCTGCTTGGGCAGGGGTTGGACTAGATGACCTACAAGATCCCTTCCAACTCTGTTAATTTGTTAAACATATCTGTTAATGATTGAAGCCTGGGAAACGGGTCCCTTGAACAGGAATACTGATTTACTATCAGCTGATCAGATACTTAGAGACCGAGGGCTTGGAAGGCCAAGGAAACAACAGCCAATCACCAGACATCAATACACCAATCAACTAATAGGAAGGCACCACATAAATACGACTCACAGAATAGCCCAAAGTACACATTCCAGAGTAGATAGAAGTTCCCTGAGGATGGGCTTCAGAACAAGTACAAAAGCTCAAAAGTGTAAACCCCGGTAATTGACTCAGATTTGATCTTGCAACACGAAAACATATCCAATCCAGAGCATTCAGCAGGTTCTGACCAGTTCTAGAGAACCGGTAGCAGAAATTTTGAGTAGTTTGGAGAACCGGTAAATGCTACCTCTGACTGGCCTTGACCCCATCTATTTTCCGCCTCCTATTGAGTCCCAGTTGGGTCTTTTTGCTTCCCCTGCACAGGAGAACGGAGCTGGAAAGCAGGTTAGGGGAGTGGGGAGGGAATAGAGATTTTGCAGTAACCTTTCCCTGCCACACCCACCAAGCCACGCCCACCAAGGCACACCCACTAAGCAATGCCACGCCCACAGAACCAGTAGTAAAATAAATTGAATCCCACCACTGATCCAATCCATATCCAGGTTGAGGCCCCCGTTAAAATCTCAATTCCCCAAATATCTCAGGGACATGCTCCAGAATTCCCATGAATTAGCATCCTGTCCCCAATATCAATGAATAAACAATTCCTAAGCTTTCATATCAGCTTGTGTCTTCCCATCCAGATGTTTCTTCCCTTTCAGACCTTCTCCAATCCAGCCCAGATTAGAAATGCACAGCTGTTTACATCTGCTTACCTGTAATAATGACCTCATCTCCATCCTGCAGAAATGTTCGGGATTGACCATGCCCAAGATCGATACTTTTTGTCCCATTCCAGGACAGTTCCAACATGGAGCCAAAATTCTCAGGTTCCTTCAAAAGCAGAAATCAAAACAAGAAAACTGAGCATCAATGGACTATGTAACTATTGGCCTGGCCTCTGTTTTGCAGAAATTAAGGCCACTGTGGGATTTGAAGAAAGAAACTGTTGTCAATCCTTCACCATAACTTAATATTTTATTATCTGGAAGATGAGAGAGCCTGGAGATCTTGGTGTTGTTATTTTTAGCTAAAGCATATATAATCTCAGAATCATGATAGAATAAAAGCTGCTAAGAAGAATTAAGCTATATCTAAACTCTACTTTTCCTGGTAGCCTACCATTTTTTCTATCTTCCATATTTTATGTTATTTTTTTCACAGCAGTGAAGAATTATCAAGAACCCAATCTTGACAAAGCATATAGCAGGATCTACAGCAATGGCTGTTCCTACACATACTGCAACTGGGGATACTGGAAATAGAGAACAACATGTCCCATGGTACCATCTTTCCTTGATATACCACTGTCTAAGGCCTTGCTGTACAACTATAGTCATAACAAGGAATGCAGTCCTGCTGGCACTTTCTCTCTTTCTCTACCATGCTTCGATGGAGCAAAAGACAACCCAATTCCTAATGCTGAAAGCTGCAATTCCCAAGATCCGCTGTGCCCCAATCTGGAGATTATAAAGAATCTAATGAATCTGAGATTATAAAGGATCTGTTGGAATGCATTTTGGAATAGTTTTAAAATCTGGGGCTCTAGGGCGATTAGATTCCTCACTGCAGGTTTAAAAGTTTAATGCAAATATTTTGATAACCGTACGATCAGTTCAATACTTACTGGCCCACTAATAGTTCCAGAGGCCAAAAGATCGCCTGGTCTGAGGTTGCAACCATTAACAGTGTGGTGAGTTAGCTGCTGTTTCATGGTCCAGTACATATGCTATGTATTAAGAAGGAGAATGATAGCCATATAGACAAATGAACACATATCAGTTTTCCATAAGTTATATGAGACATTAGATTAGAATAACTTTTTCTCTTACCTTAAAGTTTGACCTACAAATATTTCCCGGCTTGCTCATACCCTCTCCTAAAAGCAAGCAAATATTATTATTAAGGACAGTAAAGAAAGTCTGTGCCTGTTCTGACCAAGACCGTAATTAAGCACATGCTTATTTTAAAAACAATTCTTGTTTTATTGCAATGCCAGGAATTATTTTCATTCCCAGCCTGTAATGAGTCCCAAACAGTCCTTCAAGATAAACACCCACCTTTCTCTCCTGTGAAGTGCCAACAACAACAGAAGTGCCAAATGAACTATAAAAAAAAACCAGCTGAAGTACAAAGTCCACACAGAGCTTCAAGGATTAATCTGAACTGAACGAATGACTTTGCTTCCTGCAAAGGTTTCTCCATCGTTGCTCTTCCTTTATACCTTATGGAAGGTGCAATCACTTCCCAGCCTTACTCCCGAGTCCCCCCTTTTGTTTCAGCCGCTCTCGCCTTCTAGCAGCTCTGTGCACACGCACACTGGAAACAGGCTCCCCTTGTTCCTCTGCCTTGCTGCTGCCAGACTCCAGAGGCTCCAGAGTCAGCACCCCACTCCCAGATGGTCCTGGCCTGCATCAGATGTAAGACACTCATCCAAGTCTTCTTCAGACTCCCGAACCTGTCCCCGTTCTTCCCCACTGCCTGATTCCACTGCCGTCTGCACAGGCTGCCTACAAACCACAACAGTGCTCACCCTATCTTTTGAACATGATGAAGCACACGCACCAGGGAATTTTAATCTGCATAAGCACAAATTAATTATATCTGCGGGGTGTTTTTCTTTTCATACATACAGGGCACCCCCTACTGATGAATTCCATCTGAAATTCACGCAACACCTAAAATATTGTAATTGTACGTGGGGATTAACTGGGAAGACAAGGTCTAACTGCCAGGAAATTTCTCCCTCATTCTAGGTTGGATCTCTCCTTGATTAGTTTCCATCCATTGCTTCTTGTCCTGGGAGGAAGGGACATAGACTAGACTAGATGCTACCTAGTTGGGTAATGAAATGTCAAAAGAAAATAACCAAGCTCAGAGAGCACCAAGGACCCCTCATTTCAATCCTGTGCTAGAATATTCACCTTCATTGAGACTAGATAACCGTCATACAAAAGGAAGGTCAGTGCATAGAAGGAAAAGGGGCATGGGAAGCCCTTCAGGAGAGAGACCCTCCCTAGTTCTCTAGGAAGTAAAAGGAAAGGAGGGGAGAAGCATTTTCATTTTCTTGCAAGATTCTATTATTGTGACCCTACAATAAAAATTGTGTTAGTGATGATGGTTTGTGCTGTTTCTGAACTACATCAAAGGGCTGGCATATATCTAGGTAGTAACCGGGTGGAGGTAGTTCCAAGCAAGAATCCTGATCTCTGAGATCAAGTACATAGGTTCAAGACATGTTTTCATGTCATTATCTTGGGTTTCATGGATTTGCTTCTTTGGAGTACCCCAAGTTATAAACTGACTTGGATCCACAACATACATACCTTTTATAGCAACGAAGAGGTTTATGTCAAAAGTATATGGCTGATCATCACAAAGGTAAGGCAGGGGCTTGGGGTCCTTGAAAGAATATAAGAAATATCATTCTCTCTAACAGCAAGCATGGTGCGGTGGCCTACAGGTGGAGTTCTCGCCTCATAATCAGGAGGCTGTGAGTTCGAGGCAGATGTTTCTCTTTCTGGGCACAATGAGAATATATCTGCTGAACAAAACTCCACATTGGTGACAGGAAGGGCATCAGGCCAGTAAACACTCAGCTCCATTCAGTTACTTGACTCCACCCCACAAGGGATTATGGGATCATTAAAAGAACAGACTTCTAACAGAAGTCTAACAGACTTCTAATAATTTATTGTTCATGCAACACTCGGAAGGAGAAACCAACCAAGCACCTTTTTCCCTTTTATTTTTATATTATTGTAACTCTTGATACATGATATTGTTTCAGTGAAGTGATGTTTGTGTAAATGTAGGAGAAGGATAGGCAGAGTCTGGAGTGGAGTCAAGAGAGAAATCAGCCTGGAATCATTACATTCCTACAAGCGATCCAACTCCAGGCCCTCTTGAATTCGAGTTGCTCTTATCTAATGCCAATGAGTGCTGATTGTTAACTAGATTCTTTACATGAGCAATAAATCAGCTTAACTAAAACATAACAGGTGGTCCTGATTCTTTGTCTGACAATAAAACAATTATAGATAATTAGCATTCTATTGTTTAAAAAGCTTAAGACGCTGAGAGCAGAGCACCAGTTACAGGTTTGTCAGTATTAGTTGTAATTTAGGATGTCAATATTTCAAGCATAGTATTATTTAGCTTTCCAAATAAGGTTAAGAATAACATTAGAGAAAGAAAAAGAAATGGTGCAACTCATATACAAAGCATTAAGGTGAAGGTTCCCCTCGCACATACATACTAGTCATTTCTAGCTCTAAGGTGTTCATCTCTGTTACAAAGCTGAAGAGCCAGTGCTGTCTGAAGACATCTCTATGGTCATGTGGCTGTCATGACTAAACCCCAAAGGCGCATGGAACGCTGTGACCTTCCCACTAAAGTGGTCCCTATTTTTCTACTTGCATTTTTTCATGCTTTCAAACTGCTAGGTGGGCAGAAGCTAGGACAAGGAACGAGAGCTCACTCCATAATGTGGTGTTAGGGATTCAAACCGCTGAACTGCTGACCTTCTGTCTTAGTCACTGAGCCACTGCTTACACATATAATTACTAATATAAAGTATTAGTTACATGTTAATAGTTTCAATCTTAAGCTGATTATGGAATATTGAAACATTGTACTGTGCATATGTATATGTATGAACACATTTTGGATTAGTATAATTGTATGAAACTAAACTGAATTTTGGGGAGACAATATCTCCCCAAAGTGGTAGGGTCTGGTATCTTGACTACTTTAAGTTCAGAGTGGAGTGTCCTGTGTTTACACTTTCTACCAACCTGGATAGGATTTGGCAGTGCAAAAGGCATCAGAGCTTCCATTGTGACAACCCATGGAGAGATAGTGGTGCCAAAACTCTTGCCCAGGAAAGGACCTAGGGGGACATACTCCCACTTCTGAATGTCACGAGCTAAAGAAGGAGAAAAAAGCAGAAAAACCTTCAGGATGAAATCGTATCCATATCACAATTGTGTCTAAAAACTCTAATCTGTTTGTGAGCAATTGAGTTCTGAGTTCCATAACCCCATCACATCAGAAAAAGAACAAGGAACATAGTTTCACATGGAGAGCAGAACATAATGTTACACATGTTTGAAGATTTCCAACTCTCTGCATAGATCCCTAGAAATAGGTTACATTAATCTAGAAATCCTTGCTTCTGATGGCATAGATTCGGTTAATCAGTGGAACAACATACCTTCAGAAGTTGTGGGTGCTCCAATCTGGAGATATTTAAGAAGAGATAGCAATTTTTCTGATATGAAATAGGGTTGGCTAACCTTTTTGGGCTCCTGGGCCAAAAATTGTGTGCACTTTTGCGTGCATGCATTTGCATGCCAGCACCCCAACGCATGCACGCGCAATCCCCCCACCGCTGCCCACTTACATGCACTGTGCCTCACAGCTGATTTTTGGCCAGTTTGAGGCCTTTTTCAGCCTCCCAGAGGCTTTAAAAAAGCCTCTGCAGGCTTTTCAGGCTGAATAATACGACCGTTTTGTCACTTCTGGTATTATAGGAAGTGACAAAAGGGGCCTATTATTCATCCCGCAAAGCCTGCAGAGGCTTTTTTCAAGCCTCTGGGAGGCCGAAAAAGGCCTCAAACCAGCTGAAAATCAGTTGTGAGGCACGCGCATGCGCAGTGAGGTAAGTTTGCATGTGGCTTGCGTGCTGGCACAAATGGCTCTGCATGCCACCTGTGGCACATGTGCCATAGGTTCACCATCACGGATATAGGGTCTCCTGTCTGAGCAGGGGGTTGGACTAGAAGACCTCCAAGTTCCCTTTCAACTCTGTTATTCTGTTAGCTATTAGAAGACACTAAGTTCTATCTATCTACATGATTGCTAGATAGACCATCATTTAAAAAGCCAAGCATTATCTAAAAATCCTCAGTCAAAATAATAGCTTGGTATTAAACTGAATATGGTGAATGACAATTATACACAGCAGTTCCATAACACCAAAACTGAATGTCTCAGTATCCTAAGCTTTTAAAATGTTACTGGAAGTTCCCGGACAATTATTAATTAACTCTTTGCACAGGTATAAGCATTGGGTCCCTAGATACCTTTCCTGATACCTATTATATTCTCTGTTTCAGAAGATTTTTTAAAAATAAGATACTATATTTTTTTAAAGAAAGAGAAGATGTCAAAGGAACTTGTATCTACAGTAACTTCTACATCCACCCGTCAGTTATAAAAATTGGATCTTTTGCTTTACTTTGTTCTTTTATTTATTTATACACTGATGTAGTTGCACAGCTTCCAGCCAAATCTGGATGGTTTGCAGTCAAATCTAGAGCAAATCTTGTAAGATCTGCCTTATGCTGGCCTAAGGTCTACCATCAAAGGAATAAGATTAATGGTGCATTACCACTCCAGTCATTCATGAGCACCATTCCAAAGATGTGTTTGTGAGCTTCACCAATGGGGATGGGTGCTCCAAGCTTGTTTCCAGGCCCTACAAAAAATGCCTGGAAAAGGTAGAAGGAAACTTTGTCAGGCATATCAGAAAAGTATATCGAAAGCATATGTTCAGACAACTGACCTGGAGATTAAAGAGAAGGGCTCTTGAGAATTGTCCCAAAGGTGTTTTTTTCAGGAGGCAATTGGACTTTCTTGTTTTTTTTTTCTTTGAAGATGTTTAGCTTCTCATCCAAGAAGCTTCTTCGGCTCTGACTGGATAGTGAGGGAATAGAAGGATGTATATTCCTTGCACACAGCTGGTCATTTGCATTTTTTTAGAGGGTTGTTGAGGCCACTTGGAGGTTTTTCTGTGTTCTCAGGACACTTGAACAGTGCAAATGGTTCCTGTAGTTTGCAATTTTTCCTCTGGAAATCCTGAGGACACAGATAAACCAAGGATTCAGTTGGATCGGATGGATGCATTGATGCAGTTTCCCTATAAAAACGTATTTCATATGCTGTCTGCCTCTGTATTTCAAGCATAGACATCGCACAAGAAACATAAGGGATAAAAAGACTTTTAGCTATACAATTTGGGATGAACACTTTTGGAATGGTGTGGGAGCAGGAATGGATTTCTAGAGGGGGGAAAATTGCAGACTACAGAAACCAGGAGCACCACTCAGGTGATCCCGAGGACAAAGATAAAACTCCAAGTGGCCTCAATGACCCTCAAAAAGAATGCAAATGATCAGTTGTCTGCAAGGAATATAAATCCTTCCATTTCCCCTTATCCTATCAGCGCTGAAGAAGCTCTTGGATGAGAAGTGAAACGTCTTCAAAGAAAAAAAGGAAGTCCAGTTGCTTCCTGAAAAAGCACCTTTGGGATAACCATGATCTGGATGACTGAGAGTCTCTACAGGCTCTTGAGAATTCTCAATCAGAAATCTCAACAGATAAGAATGGAATGAAGAAGCAACATTATGTGTATTATGAATCTTTTCTGTAATCCCTGCCTAATCAACTGCAGAAATCAATTATCAATTATCCAGATCCTAGCATTTCTGAGATCCCTTTTTCTGTTCCCCACACCAGAGGTGGTATTCAGCAAGATTCTGACCAGTTCTGGAGAACCGGTAGCAGAAATTTTGAGTAGTTTGGAGAACCGGTAGAGGAAATTGGCTGGGTCTTCTTTTGTTAGTGGGGTGGGGAGGGAATGGGGATTTCACAGTATCCTTCCCCTGCCACACCCAAGCCGCACCCACCAAGCCACACCACATCCACCATGCCACACCCATGGAGCTGGTAGTAAATTTTTTTGAATCCCACCACTGCCTCACACCTCTACACTCCACTGCAAATTATACAATGGAGGATCCAGAAATGACTATCATTTTATTTTGCTCCTGGGTGGAGGTCTTTTGTTCTTCTGCTGCGTTAAATTGCCATGTTTACAAAATGCTCTTATTGCTTTGGTTAATTTAGATCAAGTTGTAGTCATATGTACGTTGTTAGATCGGGTAGATCGGTCCCATAGAGACCCGAGACCAAAGTGAACAGTCAGCTCTTTATTGAACATACAGTTCTGTCCAAGACCTGCGATTTGCAGCGGCTCTTCATATAGAGCTAGCGTGTGGCTCGGCGGCCAATGACATCGCTTTGAATCTCCCGTGATCGGCTCGGCCAATCACGGTAGATTCTTAGCACACCAATCACGGCCGCTTAGTCGGCCAATCAGGTTGCGGTCCGTGCGGACCAATCAGAATTCAGGATTTGGTGAATGTTAATATAGAACACCCCTCCCCTCTTGGTTTCATCCGACGGAGCATGGTGATGTAGTCGTGCAGGTAGGCAGGGCTTTGTACTTGCCTAGTTGACTTGTGCATTTCAGTAGGTGTCTTTTCATTGACCGGTTTGGACGGGCTCCATGTCGCTCTCAAACCCTTCGATGGAACCGCCTGGAATGGTGAGCCGGGCCCATGGCTGCAACTCCCACCCAGTCTACCTGGGTCGGTCGAGTTGTCGGCTCCGCCGTTCCCGCCTGGTCTCTCCAGGCTGGTTGAGCTGGCCCGGCTGCTCCTTCCCGGTGAAGCTCCTGTCTGCAACGGCTTGAGGTCTACTGGTGAGTATGGCTGGTTTATTGTTTGGGTTTGGCTTGTTCTGGTTGGGGGGTGTTCTGCTTGCATTGTAGGCCTTTCCTCTTCCCCTTGTTTGGCATTTGGGGTTTCCCCCCCTTCTGGTTTCTTCGTTAGTGGTTGTTTGCGGTGTGCTGTCAGCGGCTAGTCTTGATCGTAGCTGGTCAATGTGCCACTTCCAGCTTTGTCTGTCGGTGGTTTGCAGTTGGTACAACCGGGGGCCCATTATCTGGGTTATCTGTGCCAGTACCCAGAGTGGGTCTCCCATAAAAATTTTTGCATAGACGGTGTCTCCGATGTTAAATGTTCGATGTTTACTGGACGAGCCTGGGGGTCGTCTCCGAGTTGTACACGGGGTGCAATTGGTCTAGTGGGGACCTTAGTTTCCTACCCATAAGTAGTTCTGCTGGGCTTTTATTTGTGGTTGTGTTGGGTGTGATGTGTTGTATGAGCAGCATTCTATTTATTTTTTCTTGTATGTCGCTGGTTTCTATTTTTTGTACGGATTTTTTTGTGTACTGAACCATTCGCTCCACCTGCCCATTCGCTGCCGGATGAGCGGACGATGTTAAGGCATGCCTTATACCTCATTCGGCCAGGTATTTTTCCAATGCTAATGCCGTAAACTGTGGTCCGTTGTCCGACACTAGCACATCTGGCAACCCGTGTGTGGCGAAAAGTTTATTCAGTTTTTTTATGACGGCTTCTATTGTTGTGGTTTTCATGGTGCTTACTTCCAGCCAGTTGGAGTAAGCATCTACTATGACCAGGAATGTGTGTCCCTTGGTGGGCCCGGCAAAATCTATGTGGATTCGTGACCAGGGGCCTCTAGGGGTTTCCCATTCCAGGACTGGTGCGGCGGGGGAGTGGATCGCGTTTCCTGGCACCTTTTGCATGCGGCCACCCACGTCTCGATTTGTTTGTCCATCCCTGGCCACCAAGCATAACTTCTGGCCAGGGCTTTCATCTTTTTTTTAAAAAACAAATTTTATTAATTTTCAAAGAGAGTACACAGACAAACAAAACATAAGACATAAGAACATAGAACATCTTTTCTAAAAACTGTTTAACAAAACAATTAAGACATCTCATTTAAGTACAACATAGTTCTAAATTATCACGTTTCCACACACAATTTAATATGCATCTTATATATTCAACTCCATATCTTATTACTGTTTTCCAACTTCTCACTGTTTCTTCCTTTATTTCTGTTCAATTTTATTCATTAAACTTATACTTTCATGTATTTCATATTACTATATTTCATATTATTACTATTTCATATGTTCTTATCCAACATCATTACTCCTCAATAAACAAACATAAACTAACAAAACACATAACATAAAAACATAAAACTTCTTTTTAGAAAGTGGCTTAACCCCGGGTTATAACTTTTTGTACAGACATAAATCAAATTCATGCTCACCTTATATACTATTTCGTATCTTATTTAACATTCTATATTTTCCATATATCTTCTCCCCTCTTTTCACTCTCTTAATTCTATTTTATTTATTTAATTTCAATTTAAATCATTATACTTGTATCTTTTGTCCGTTCTTTTTCAATTATCCATTTATCTTTCTCTTTAACACAAACTTTTTCCTGTAGTGACTGGTTGAAGTATGATACCTTTCTATTTTCCCCCCAAATTTAACACTTAAAATAATACATAGTTTCTATTCTGATTCTGCTTAGTACATTCTACATAACATTTTAAAATATAAAGATCTTATAGTATATTAAAAATAAGGTTCCATAACAAATTAGTTAATTAAACTAATTACACATTACACATTCCCTAGAGTATTCTATTAACAAATACTAAAATACAATCTTGTGTACTTTTGCAGAATCTCTTTTTAGATTATGTTTCACCCTTTATCTCTGAAAAAAAAATTGTTTATTAACATCTTGTTTTAAGCCTTTATAACTTCCCTTCCTTCCTTGTCAAATCTAACCTTTTTACCCCCCCTCAATCTCCAGCTTTTTAGTCTCCCCTCTCTGTTGTATTCCTCTTTTCTGTTGCTTTCTATCATATCGATTTTTCACCTTACTTTTCCCTTTCTTGGTTGTTTTTTTAGAACTTAAATTCTTCGTTTTCTTCTCCTTTTTACCCTTTTTTAAAATCATATGTCCATTAAAGATGGCTTCTTCTTCATCATCCCAGCCTTTTTCTTGTTGCATTTCCTGATAAGTAGAAATCACCATTTCTAAAAAGCAAAGGATAGATCCAAAAGAGCCCTTGCCTTCTTCTTCCTCTTCTCTTAATTTTTCAAATTGCATTTTCAGTTCTTCAACAGATACCATTGTGAAAGAAATTTTTTTTTTTTAAACAATCCAAATGTTTTCTTAGTCTTTCAAAAGATAGTTAAGGTCCCAAAGTCATCAAGCAATCAAACTCAGCGCAATCAGCACAGTCTGTTTCACTTTCTTCTACTTTCTCTTCCTGGGGCAGAATTCAATTACACAATTCCAAGGTATTTTTTGGAAGTTTTATTGTGATTTAATCTCTAATCTTATAAAACTTCAAGCAGTCTCCTTCAACAAACATTAGTATAAATCATTTACCTCTCTTCCTTCCCACTTAAAGCAAAAAGATTTTAATTTTTAAATATCAGTGTTTAGAAATCTAATGTCCCCTTGGCTTCAATTTTGAAAGTTAGTACCTTCTGCTGCCAAAGCGGGTATTTCCGATTTCCATCTGCTGTCTCCATGGGAAGGAAAGTGAGGAGAAAAAAAACTTTCCCCTTACTTTCCACTGCAGCTTAACGATCTTCTGGGAAACAATATATCACTTAAAAGGCCAAAGTTCCAGGGTATTCAGATGTTAATTGTCGTCCTGGTTCAGCCAAAAGCTTTCTCTGTCTTCACTTCCTTCTGCACATAACTTGTCCGGCTGAGAGGTTCTTTGTGATGGCCATTTCTGACCGTCGCTCCACCACCTTTGGAAAAGGGAGTTAAGCCGGCTGGGAAGGGGGGGTGCGATATCCCCCGAACCCTGCCCGGATCTCCCCTCTCTTCAGTTATCCCTACAGGATAACTATAGCCTCCTAATCCAGTTGGATCGAAGGCACTCCAGCAGTGAGCACAGCAGGGATCGCACACAAACACGAATTCCTGCTGCCTCCGAAGCCTGACAAACCGGAAACCGGCCAGGGCTTTCATCTTGACGATGCCCAGGTGCCCCTCATGCAACATGGCTAGTACCCTTTTTTGTAAGTTCTCTGGTATCACCACCCAGTCTCCCCAGAGTATACACCCCTTCTGCAAGAAAAGTTTGGTTTGTCGGTTCCTGAAGGCTTTGAAGTGTTCGTTTCCGTCGCTTTCTGGCCATCCTTTCTCTACCCAGCTCAAGACTCGTGCCAGCCGCTTGTCTTTATTTGTTTCTCGGGCAATGTCTGGCGCGGTCAGGAGTGGGCTGGGTAAAGTCTCTATCTGCAGGGTTGTTGTTGTGGGTGCTGGGTCATCCTCTAGGTCTGGTAGGGGGGAACGGCTCAGTGCGTCTGCGTGCAAGATGTCCTTGCCGGGCCGGTGTGTCAGCTGGTAACTGTAGGCGGCAAGGAACTCGGACCACCTTGTCATCCTGGGTGACAGGATGTTCGGGGTGGCTTTGTTCCCTGCCAGTATCCCTAGTAGTGGTTTGGAATCGGTAATGATTGAAAAGGTCCTACCATAGAGATACTCATGGAACCTTTTCACTCCGGAGATGATCGCTAGGGCTTCCTTGTCCAGCTGGCTGTAGTTTCTTTGCGGCTTGGACGGCGTTCTCGAAAAGAAGGCGATGGGTGCTTCTTTCCCGTCCGGTAACGTGTGGCTGAGGATCGCCCCGACGCCAAAGGGCGATGCGTTGCATGTTACCGTCAGCGGCAGGGTCTCGCTATATTGAATGAGGACTGCGTCAGACGTTAGTAGGTTTTTGGTCTGTTGGAATGCGTTTTCCTCCCGCTTCCCCCAAGTCCAGGCGGCCATTTTGTCCAACAGCCTATGCAAAGGTTCCGCCGTGGTCACCTTTTGGGGTAGGAAAACATTATAAAAGTTAATAAGTCCCAAAAACGCCTGCAGTTCTGCCTTGTTTTTTGGTCTAGGGGCTTCCTTGATGGCTCTGAGATTTTTTTCGGTGGGGTGGATTCCGTGCTTGTCTAGGAGATACCCCAGAAATTCGACCCACTCAGTGCAGAGTTGGCATTTCCCCTTTTTAAGTTTAAGGCCAGAGTCTTTGAATTTTTGCAGTACCGCCCTTAGGCGGGTTTCCAATGGTTTTTGTTGGTGGCTGCCACCAGCACGTCATCAAAGTAGGGCACCACTCCCTTTATTCCCTGCTGCAGTCTTTCCATGAGGCTTTGGAAGACTCCTGGTGCAATGCTGACTCCGAATTGGAGTCAGTTGCATCGGAATGCCCCTCGGTGTGTTACAATCGTTTGCACCTCGGCGGTTTCGGCATCGACTGGCAGTTGCTGGTAGGCTTGAGCCAGGTCGAGCTTTGCGAAGACCCGGCCTCCCCCCAGTGAGTGCAGAAGGTGCTGTACCACTGGGACGAGGTAGGCACTTTGCTGCAGGGCATGGTTGAGGGTGGCCTTATAGTCACCACAGAGTCTTATGGAGCCATCCAGTTTGATGGGGGTGACTATGGGTGTTTCCCAACGGGCATGGTCAATTGGCTCTAAGACCCCTTGCACAATGAGCTTATCTAATTGCTCATCGATTTTGGGCTTGAGCGCAAATGGCACTCGCCGCGGCTTAAGGCGGATTGGGGCAACGTTTGCGCTAAGGTTGAAGGAGATTGGGGACCCCTTGTACTTGCCTAGGGTGTCATAGAAGACCTCCTGGAAGTCCCTTACGAACGTTGCCTCCCAGTCCGCCTCGTCGGTGTGGTGAATGCCCGTCACTTCGATTCCCAGCGGTGTGAACCATTGCAGTCCGAGCAGGCTGGGGCGGTCTTTGTCCACAATTGTGAGTGGCTGTACCTCGGTGTGGCCTTTGAAGGTTATTTTAAAATGTCCGATGCCGACTACAGGGATACGGTTTCCCTGATAGTCCTTCAGGGTCAGCTTTTGGTCGTTCAGCTCGTGCCGGCGGATGGTAGGCAACAGGCGTTTGTGCGCCAGAAAACCATGGAGAGGTAGGACCCAGAATCCGCCTCCATTTCGCATGGTTGGTCCTCGATGCCTACCTCCACGCATACCTTCCGGGCGTCGATGGTTGAGGAATGACCGATGACGACCGTCTGGTGGGTTTCCTCTCTCCGCGGTGCCTCACTGAGTCGTCTGTTCCGGCCATCTCGGCTCCATCGGCTTTCGGTCTGGCAGTCTCGGTTCCTGGGGGGGGGGTGCCATCTCGTCGCCTGGGGCTGCTGCCTCGACGCCGGGGACTGTGGTTCCGTTTGTTCCGACATACCTTGGCGATGTGACCCCGCTTTTCACAATGCCAGCAAATGGCATCAAGAAAATGGCATTCGGAGCGGGGGTGATCACCTCTGCAGCCGGCACACTGGAACCCCGACTTACGTCCTCTCTGGTCCCGTCGATCGCGCTCCGCCTGGAGTCGGTGGATTTCTTCCTCCTCGTCGTCGGTGTCGGAGGGGGAATCGACGTCGCCGTGGTGGGTGGTGGTGGTTGCCCGGTGGCTGGTCTCTACATGTGTCTCCAGTGCTGGACCCATCTCGATGGCTGCCTGACAGTCTGCCCCGTTCGCTTGCCGCATCCGGGCCGCCAACGTGGCCTCGGCCGTGGTTGCTTCTGCAACGGGGTCGGCAAGGGAGATGTCGCCCTTGGCCATCAGCCTGCTCTGTAGGACGGGGTCTCTGAGTCCGAGGACAACTTGGTCTCGCAGAGCCTCATCCAGATCGGTGAACCCGCACAGGCCTCAGCTCAGCCACGAAGTCACTGATGCCCTTGCACTGGTCCCGTCGGTAGAACTCGTGCCTTCGGATGAGGGTGGGCATGGCAGGGGCATAGTGGTTCCGTAGGATGGGCTCGAGGTCAGCCCAGTCCATCTCCTTTATGTCCGCGGGCTTGGCCAGGGCCTTGGCCATCTTGAACACTGCAGGCCCGCAGTGTGTCAGGAACACAGCCCGTTTTCTCTGCCCGTTGGCATCCTTGGGGTTGCTGCATTCCAGGAACATCTGGAACCTGTCGGTGTAGGATTCCCAGTCCTCAGTGGCCAGGTTGAAGGGTGTGGGTGGCGAGGTGCTGCTGGCCATCTTGGTGGTCGTTTCGTGCCATTTGCCACGTGCTTGGTTGGTCTCTTTGTCTCACGATCCCACCTTCGTCGCCAGTGTTAGATCAGGTAGATCGGTCCCATAGAGACGCGAGACCAAAGTGAACAGTCAGCTCTTTATTGAACATGCAGTTCTGTCCAAGACCTGCGATTCGCAGCGGCTCTTCATATAGAGCTAGCGCGCGGCTCGGCAGCCAATGACATTGCTTTGAATCTCCCGCAATCGGCTCGGCCAATCGCGGTAGATTCTTAGCACACCAATCATGGCCGCTTAGTCGGCCAATCAGGTTGCGGTCCGTGCGGACCAATCAGAATTCAGGATTTGGAGAATGTTAATATAGAACATACGTGTGTGTGTGTGTGTGTGTGTGTGTGTGTGCATGCATTAACTGAAAGGTATCAACAAAAATGTGTTTCATTTTTCTTTTTAAAAGGCAAAAGGCGATGTAGAGAGTGGTAACGAAAGAAGAACCTGTAAGAAAATACAACCTCACCATTTCCAATTCAATGTCCAAACGTTTGGAAGCAGCAACAAGCGGACTTTTACCTGCAATTCAAACAAAATTCATAAATGTGAGGTTTTTTAATTAAAGCAAGAACAATAAAAATACAGAAATTTGCAAGTAGACGCCTGAAAGACTCACTGTCATTAGGACACATTTGGCCCACTGGTCTTGTGATTGGTGTCCCAGATATGACAACGGAGGAAGCACGTCCATGGTACCCAACTGGTAGGTGCAACCTTGGAAAACATGTTTCATGCGTTAAAAGCATACCTCACTTCTAACCTCTGGAGGTATATACTTAGTCCTCAAATTACAACAGTGTGTTTAGTAACCGTTCGAAGCTATGGCGGCCCTGAAAAAAGTGACTTATGACCATGTTTCACACTTACGACCCTTGTTGCCTTCCCATGGTCAAAAATTGGATGCTTTGGCAACTGACTCATATTTATGACAATTGCAGGATTCCAGTGTCATAAGATTCCCCTTTTAAGACCTTCTGACAAGCAAAGTCAGCGAGGAATCCAGATTCACTTAACAATCATGTTCCTAACTTAATAACTGCAATGATTCACTTAACAATTGTGTCAACCCTGAAGCTGGCCTGGCTGAAGCCATTTTGAAGCTTCAGTGTTGTCACATTGAAAGCTGAGGGATGTGGGAGCGGGGAAACAGAAATAGCTGGGCCAAAACAAAATACTTTCTCCTGGGAACCAAGAACATTCCCACAGGTGGCCAGAGAGAGGAGGGGTGAAATTACCAGGCAACTAGACGGCACCCTGATTGGACCATGTGACTGATTGTTTGGGAAAGGGGAAAAACTTTACTTCTGATTAGGTGAAAATCACTGGAACTTTCAGAGTTGGTTTTTACCAGGTTGTGCCAGTATGATATAGCCAATAACAGATAACAGATAATCAGAGTTGGAAGGGACCTTGTAGGTCATCTAGTCCAACCCCCTGCCGAAGCAGGAGACCCTACACTATTTCTGACAGATGGGAATCCAATCTATTCTTGAAAGTCTCAAGTGATGATTCTTTGAGGAATCTACTTGCCTCGGAGTTTTGTTTGCTATGGAAGTATTACTTGGAACCAGAGGTGGTATTCAGCAGGTTCTGACCAGTTCTGGAGAACCAGTAGCGGAAATTTTGAGTAGTTCGGAGAACTGGCAAGTGCCACCTCTGACTGGCCCTGCCCCCATCTTTCTCTGCCTCCTATTGAGTCCCAGCTGATCGGCTGGGTCTCCTTTTGTTGCCCTGCACAAGAGAACAGAGCTGGAAACCAGGTTAGTGGGGTAGGGAGGGAATGGGGATTTTGCAGTAACCTTTCCCCTGCCACACCCACCAAGCCACGCCCACAGAACCGGTAGTAAAAAAATTTGAATCCCACCACTGCTTGGAACCCAGACAAACTGCAGCAAGCAAGGTTGTACATAAAACCAATTCTTGGAATAATTTCCTCCCCACCTGACAATGGCCTTCTCTTTATTGCCCTTCCAAATTCAATGCGGACTGCAGTTTAAAGGAAACATCCGAATTATGGAACAGCGCTGAAGATTTTATAGGCTCTGTCGCTTTCAATGTTTTCTGGGATGCTTCTTAAAGGATTTTGTTTTGAGTCACTCCATAACCATGAAGGAGGCAACATACAAACTAACTACCTTGACCGATAGATAACTATTGGATCCTGTGATAGATAACCAGATCAAGCTATACAATTTGTGGACCACAAAAACTTAAAATTTGATCCCCAATTTTATTTATTCATTCATTCTTTGATTTATTTTTGTGCCCACAAATTGGACCACAAATTGCTACCCAACCAACATTTTCTGAACAATAATTCAGCCTCCATTTCATTAAAGTCTGAATTACAATTACATCAAGCCTGTTCTGGCCACAACCAAAGGTCAACCCTCTTGAAAATACAGCACTTAGAATGCAGACCATAAATGACAGTAGATATTCATTCAAATCAATCCAATAAATCAGGTCCCCCATATCTTCTTTTTCAGAGAAAGAAAGACAGTTACTGACCAGTTGGGCATCAGAGCATTCTCCTTCCCTCTAAACATCATTCCGACGTTTGTTGCATGTTGCCAAGAAGAGTAGAAATCTGTGTAATCTCCTAGAAGGAGAAAGAAAGAACAAACGAATGAATATAAACAGATAGACAGACAGACAGACAGACAGACAACTAACTAGCTGTAGGTAGGTACATGTTAATAGATTAGGTAGGTAGATGATGATAAATAGATGTAGGTAGGTACATGATAATAGGTAGATAGATAATGGAGATAGGTAGGTAGGTAGATGATGATAGATAGATAGATGTAGGTAGGTACATGATAATAGGTGGATAGATGATAGAGATAGGTAGGTAGGTAGGTAGACGATAGATAGATAGATAGATAGATAGATAGATAGATAGATAGATGTAGGTACACGATGGTAGGTAGATAGATGATAGAGATAGGTAGGTAGGTAGATGATGATGATGATGATGATGATGATGATGATGATGATTGATAGATAGATAGATGTAGGTAGGTAGGTGCATGATAATAGGTAGATATATGATGGATATAGGTAGGTAGGTAGAGATGATAGATAGATAGATAGATAGATAGATAGATAGATAGACAGACTGACAGCTAGCTAGCTGTAGGTAAGTACATGTTAATAAAGTAGGTAGGTAGGTAGGTAGATGATGAAGATAGATAGGTAGGTAGATAGATAGATGTAGGTAGGTACCTGATAATAGGTAGACAGTTGATAGAGATAGGTAGGTAGGTGATGATAGAAAGACAGACAACTAGCTAGCTATAGGTAGGTACATGTTAATAGAGTAGGTAGGTAGATGATGATAGATAGACAGATTCCACAAAAGGTTGTAGAAATCCTATGAGATTTCCAGATGCAGACAGGCAGGTACTGGTTAATAAATCAATCAATCAGTCTCTGAAAATAAATTTGGAATTTTTTCCCCTTCTCCAATGACCAGCATGCACAGATAGTCCTCGACTTGCAAAAGTTCATTTAGTGACTGTTCAAAGCTACAACGGCACTGAAAAAAATGACTCGTAACCTTTTTTCACACTTGTGACCTTTGGAGCATTCCCATGATCAGGTGATCAAAATTCAGGCACTTGGCAACTGGTTTATACTTATGACGGCTGCAGTGTCCCTGGGGTCATGGGATCCCCTTTTGTGACCTTCTGACAAGCAAAGTCCATGCGGGGGAGCCAGATTCACTTAACAACCAGGTTACTCACTTATCAACTGCAGTGCTTCACTTAACAACTGTGGCAAGGAAAGTTATAAAATGAGGTTGTGTGTGTGTGCAAAACTCCCGTAACAAATGTCTCACTTAACAGAAACTTTGGGCTCCACTGTGGTTGTAAGTTGAGGTGTTTGCTTTTAAAGGAACTTTTGATAAACAGAATTCTTCTACTGCCCTCTGGTGTTCTTCAATGGAACCTCTTGCTTATTCTTATATTTGTGTTTATGTTTGCATCCATGTCCAAGCCCTCTTCCCCCCTTCCCTGCCCACCCCAATTCTCTTCTGTTTGATTGATGTTACTGACTGTAAAAGCTATGCAAGAAGGCCCACCATCTTTGCCCCCTTCAAAACTGGCTGTCAGTGTTCCAACCAACCTACGCCAAGCCAATAAACTCCAAGACAAGCATCTACTCAAAGTTCAACTTTATTAGAGTTGTCATATTGACACATCTGGGAAAACCCAAATCTGAGAGTTCTGAGTTTTTCCTTCCCAAAAGAGAAATCAAAGATCTATCCCCTGCACCCATCACTCCATCACATGGCCCAATCAAATCTTCGTCTCAACTGGAGACCTTCCTCCAGACACTCCCCTCCAGGTTCAGGACAACATGTCCTTGACTCTCTGAGAAAGGATGTTGTTGAGTCTAATCTTCTATCTCACTATGAAATCCTCCCTCCCAAATCCCCAGGCACTGAATGTGGCAGCCTCGGAGCTTCCAAGTAAAATATGGCTTCCAAGGCTGACACTGGTCTTATCAAGTCAGATCTGAGAAGCAGATCTCCGTTACTGGACACAGCACTCCAGTAGTTTTCCTGCAAGCCAAACTTTAAACCCACAAAAATAAGACTAGGTTCAAGCCTTCTTTTATGCACAGGAAAATAGTTTACCCTTTCTTTTATTAAAGGAGTTTGAATGGCAGATTTCAGAATCTGATCACTTTGCTCCTATGTCCCTAACAAACTATAGAGAGGCTCTACATTCAAATAACTTTTTGTCAGAAATGGTGTAGGGTCTCCTGCTTGGGCAAGGTGGTGGTGGACTAGATGACCTACAGGGTCCCTTCCAAACCTGCTAATCTGTTAAACTTACCAATTTCAGAAGGAAGATGCATTATTGCAGACGCTTGAGGTATAAATACTCTAGGAGGAAAGGAAAGGAAGCAGGACAAACATTTTATCTTCAAGAAACAACTCTTCTGCCCTTCACTCTCTACCACCAATGCAAGGATTAACAGGCTGAATGTCCCCAAAGTTTCCTTGGCTTTTAAAGTATAAATCACTTCTTTCAAGAGAAAAGGACATTTGTAGCTCAGGGTTGAATTGTGGGGTCCTTGGTGTTTTCTTGCAGATGTTACCCAACTACATAACAACACTAATGCTAGAAGGCAAACCCTACTTCCTTCTAGCACTGATAATGTTACCTAGTTGGGTAAGAAAACATTGCAAGAAAATCTAGCTCAGAGGGCACCAATGACTCCATAAATTACTAGTTAATGTTCACATTTCCAAATCTCACTCATTTGTTGCAATATAGTGCTTAAATTATATAGTGATAGATAACAATATATGTATGGCCTATTTTTTATTCCTGATCTTACCAGATGTTTTTGCTTTTTATATTGTAGCCCAGAAGAACTGTATGATATCACTAAAAAGTGACTTAGGCAGATGCTTCCTTAATTCAGTGGAGTATAAGAAGGGGGAAGAAGGCACAATAAAATCAAATTCGCAAGATTCTGTGATGACCCAGGGTGGGATACAAAAACAACACAAACCACACTGAAGCAATTAAGGGAACCAGGCAAGATAAGGGCTTGAAGATGTCCAAAGATATCGGAACATACACTGGGAAGGACGCCAAACTCAGGTAAGAACGGACAGACTAGAAATATTTTCATGCTTTGTTTCCAGCACTGGCTCATGCACAGTCTGTCCTTTTAACCAGTTCTCACAACTGCAGCCCATGAAGGGGATCCAGGCCCTTTCCTCCCCCGTAGACCATGCCATTCATGTTTCTCCCTTATCCTCTCCCCCCTGAGTGCTTTAGGATGGAGAGGGGATGGGCCTGGGTCCTCCTCTGACTGCCCAGCCGGCCTGTGCCCTTCCCCAACTTCCTCCAGAACCTCCGGAGCCATACTTCCACTCCCTCAGAGTCAATCTCCAACAGGGGCATGACAGAATCTGTTATAATAGTCAATCTCAATAAAAGCAGTTTAAGCCCACTTGTGGAGTTGATTTCCTGGTCTGGTCTACTCAGTAAAGTTGACATCAACCTTGCAAATTTGCTAATAATGTGCCTAGCATATGGAAGCTGCATACCTCCATAAGGTAATCTTACTCTTTACACATAGTCAGGAATGAAGTGGATTGGTTAATGGCAAAAGTCAATAGTCAATAGGTCAATAGAATGGTGGATGAGACTGTTACCTTTATTCGAGGAATTGCTATTTAAGGACACATTCTAGCTAGCTAACAAGCTAACTCTTTGATTCTGACATTTTGGAAACCATTATCACTGTACATCATTCACATATACACAACACCAGATGTACACATTAGTTTTGTATTCAAGTACCTTTTGCGTAACTCTGAGTTATCTCTGAGAGTTGGCTCTTTGTCCGAGAGAATCTTTTGCAGCCATGATCTGGCCTCAGTCCAAGCTTCCCAGCCCAATGCCATGAAAGCGTTGAGAGTCGACTGCAACAAAGGTAAAAGGAGAGAAATCATGGTTTTCCAGGACTCTTATATAGGGTATGGACAGCAAGCCACTAAAAGATCTCAATTCCATGATGTGCAACCTGGAAGCCATTTGTCCACCCCAACACTAGTGGAAAACCATAGTGGGCCACCTTGCTAGTCATGCATGTAGAATGTAGGTTAAAGACTCTTTGGGGAAGGCTCTGAGTCTTCATCTCAGTCAGTTCTCTCAAGAACCTGATACTGCATCAGACAGTCTTTAGAACAAAAAATAGAAGAAAACTGTCTCCCCCACTCAAAAGAGAGTGACTCGGAGCTCTGTACCTGCATGGGCAGGAGAAAAGGATACCAAAATTTAATGTTTGGTTTCACTATAAAGAGCAGTCACTGCAGAAGTGGCATTCAGCAGGTTCTGACCAGTTCTGGAGAACCGGTAGTGGAAATTTTGAGTAGTTCGGGCAACTGGCAATACCACCTCTGATTGGCCCCACTAGCCCCATCTATTCTCCGCCTCCCGAGTCCCAACTGATTGGCTGGGTCTTCTTTGGTTGCCCTGCACAGGAGAACGGAGCTGGAAAGCAGGTTAGTGGGGTGGGGAGGGAATGGGGATTTTGCAATATCCTTCCCCTGCCACGCCCACCAAGCCATGCCCACAGAATCGGTAGTTTAAAAAAAATTAATCCCATCACTGAGTCACTGGAATTCTTTTGTAAAGTCTTTATTAGCTTTTGTACAATGGACCCATGGAATTGAAGCTTGTGGGAGCAACAGTGATCATGATAATGTCAGGTTTTTCTCAACAAGCTAGAGTGGGAGACTGTATTCTAAGAAATACAGCCTTCCATTCTAGCTTGTTGAGAAATACTCTGAAATTATCACAGTCACTGGTGCTCCTTTCTTCCTTGGAGTCAAAGATGGACTTGGTGATGGGGTTAGGTCTTTAGAGCAGTGGCTTCAAGATGAATGAAGATGAAGAACCTTGACCCTGAAGGGCCAACCAGCCATTTCACTGACTTATTTCATAAGCACTGTAGGTTTTTTTAAGGGTGTTACCTACGATTGCCAAGTCCAGAATCTAAACAGATAGAAATGCATCACTGCCTACTTACATTTTACTCAACTCTCTCAAATGCAAACATCCTCCAGATAATGAACATTATCTTCCAGATTCCTGGACAACACCTTGAGCAGAAGGGCTGACATGAAATTTGAACTCACTCATGGAATCAAAGGATTATAGAATTTAAAAAAATAGCAAGCAACTTGTCTGATCTTCTACACTATGCAGGAAGATCCATTAATCCATTCTCAAGAGGTGCCAACCCTCTTTGTTAAAACCTCTAAAACAGAGGTCTCCAACCTTAGCAACTTTAAAACTTGTGGACTTCAACTCCCAGTATTCCTCAGCCAGCTTTTTATTTTAGTTTGGTTTGTCAATTGCTTACAAGATAATAGGTATAAGTAAAAACATAGTTATGAATACATGGATACATATAAGAAAAACAAAAGAAACAATAGGACAGGGACGGTAGGCACGTTGGTGCACTTATGCTTTGCTTTGCTGGCTGAGGAATTCTGGGAGTTGAAGTCCACAAGTCTTAAAGTTGCCAAGGTTGGAGACCCCTGCAAAGAGATGAACAGCCCGCATCTGCAGGTATTCTATTTATCTTCAAAATTAACCCTGGTACCAAAATGTAACTAGCCGAGTAGCTAAGCACCGTGTTTCAACTACTATGGTTTTCAAGAAGAAGCAACATACCAGTGAGCCTTTAAATAGCTAAGAAACCCATCAGTACTTAAATTTGACTGAAGACAAAGTTTCGTTACCTGCTCAAAGACATGGTGTTGCTTTGAAAGGACAGGTCCATCAAACAGATGTTTAACAGCATTGAGGTCCAGCACCTGAACACCAATAGCTACTCCAATCCTGTGTCTGGGCTGCAAGAGAGAGAAATATACATGAGAAGCAGAAGTTTCTCAGCTGCTATTCGGACCTACCAAAGTAATCTTGATTATCCACAGCTCCCAAAAAGTGAATTGTCAGAGAAGGGGAGGAGAAAGGCATGGAAAATCTCATTCTGTGCCTCTGCAGATGAACCCCATCAAAAATTAATACAGAAAGAGAGAATTGGGGTTGGAGAGCATAAAACTTTTTTAATTTTTTTAAAAAACCTCATCCCTTGAATGCTTGTCCTTCTGTTAACTTTGGAAAACAAGAAAGTTAATGTATAACTTGCAGGGTAGAATTCAATGGCTCTGGCGCTACCTCCAAGAAGCTAAAATTTTCCCCTGTTAGCTCCTCATTTTAGGACTTTATGGCTGGCCAGTTGTTACTGTCAGAGCAGAATCACAGAGTTAATATTGACACAAATCTTCTCCCTATTAGGGTTGTCCTGAAACAGCAGAGGATTGGCTCTGAGTTCTCTGTTAAATGAGTAACACAGTCATTAAGCAATGTCTTCACCACTGACTTCGGTTGCCAGAAGGTTGCAAAATTTGATCACATGACACTGCAACAATCCTAAATAGGAACCAGTTGCCAAGCATCCGAATGTAAATCATGTGACCCTGGGGATGCTACAACGGTCCTAAGTGTGAAAAATGGTCATAAGCCACTGTTTTCAATGCTGTTGTAACTTCAAAAAGTCACTAAATGAACTGTTGTAGCTTGAGGAGTAGAGATTAGAAGCAAGATGTGCTTTTAACACATGATCCATGTTTTCCAAGGTTGCCCCTACCAGTTGGGTACCATGGACATGCTTCTTCTTGTGATGACCCGGGGCGTGGCACAAAGGCAACACAAGATAAACTCATGTTTACTCTCAGAAGCTGCCGCACTCAGCATGCAGCTCTTTTAAACTCTCTTCCCATCTGTGGCTAATGAAGGGAATCAGGGCCCTTTCCTCCTCCGTAAGCCACACAATCCATGTTGCTCTCTTCTCCGTTCCTCCCTCCGTGCCCTAGGACGAAGAGGGATGGGCCTGGATCTTCCTCTGAATTCCATCTCCCTTGTTCTACCTCTTCCCTGCTCTACACAGCCAGACTTTGCCCTTCCCCAGTTTCCTCCACAGCCAACCGAGCCACACCCCCACTCCCTGTCAGCTGTTCATCTTCCTCCTCGGATTCAGACTCCGACAGGGGCATAACAGTTCTGTTGTCATATCTGGGACCCCAATCAAAAGACTGGTGGGCCAGATCTGTCCTCATGACAGCGAGTCTTTTAGGTCTCTACTTGCAAACTTTTCTTCAGTGCTGTTGTAACTTTGAACAGTCACTAAGCGAACCATTGTAAGTCAAGGACTTCCTGGATTTTATGATCAAGTTCGCCAAGCTTAGAAACCAGTTAAGGGAAGGTGGAAAAAAGTCAACTCTCTGCAGAAATATCATGGCTGGAAACAATCAATGGAGGCTTTGGATGCAGGGGAAGGGGGAGTGACTGCAAGGAAGAGAGAACGGAGCACAGCTTAATGAAAAACTCTCTATGACTCTAGAGTCATAGAACGATAGGGCTGGAAGGGATCTCAGAGGTCTTCTAGTCCAACCCCCTGCTCAAGGCAGGAGCCTTATACCATCCCAGCCAAATGGTGTACGGTTTCTTTCTGAAAAACCTCCAGTGATTGAGTGTTTTTTCTGGTGAGAGTGGACTGTCAGGGCAACCTGGTCTACCCAAACATGGGATGGAGCATACTGCTTCCGTAAGTAGCCTGGGTTCGAATCCCAGAAAGGGAATGGCTAGCTGACGAGAGCTAAAGAACTTGAAATAGATCTATACTAGTCTCCCTTTGGCTACCTAATGAGAAGGAAGGACTCACTGGAGAAGACCCTAATGTTGGGAATAGAATAGAATAGAATAGAATAGAATAGAATAGAATAGAATAGAATAGAATAGAATAGAATAGAA